GCTGCTCATCCTCGTCCTCGCTCTCGCCGCGGGCTTGGCGGCGGCGCTGGGACTCCTGCCCCGTGCACCGGGTTGGTATCCTAAGAGCTGCTATTTTTTCAGTAAGGGAGGCAGAAAATGATGTTGCGTGAGAAGAGCCATCGTGTCCATCGCCGAGCGTGAAGTGGTGCTTCCTGGTGCGGGGCGGAGGAAGGAAGGGGACCTGCAGTGACCCCAGGTCGCCACGAGCTGTTCCTCAGCTCCGGCGTCCCGCTCCGTAGGGTTGTGGTAACTTTGGGTGGCACGGCCATGCTTCAGACTGCTGCTATAGTCTTCAGACTCTGCCATGAACCTACCAGAGATTAATCTTGGCCCCTGGTTATTTCCAGAACAACAAATGAATTTCTTTTCCCCCTCTCTTCCCCTTGATCTGTTCCCCATACCATGAAAATGTTGGAAAATAAAGTATTTCTGGCTTTCCCTTCAGCGAACCGCTTCTGTGCAACTGCCAATAACCGGACAGGCTTCTTGTGCAACGACGGAGCAACCTGCGTCCCGGCCAGGCGGGTCTGCGACGGAGTCGGCAACTGCGGGAATGGAGAGGACGAGCAGGACGAGTTCTGTGGTGAGTGATTTTGTTGTCACCCTCCTCCCCACGCTGGTGCTCCTGTGGTGAGACTGAGCAGCCGGCATCCCTCTAATCCTGCTCCACACTGCTGGATGCATACCAGAGCAGATAAGCCTGGGAGATCCTTTGTAGGGCAGACGCAGAGAGGCAGTGCTGCCCAAAACCCAACGGGAGTGCCGGGAATCAAAGACTCCAAGCTCCTCTGATTTTCCTAGGTTGTTTTTTTTTAAACCACGATCCAGTTTTCCTCCACTGGTTAAGCTGTATGCCTACATGGTTAAGTTATTGTCCAGTTACCCTGGAAAAAAAACTCCTTAAAGCAGAAGCGTGAGGCACCCTGACTCTGCTTCCAGCTCAGCCACGAGCACCCCTTTCCCTCTCCGACCGCAGCTTCCCCGTCTGCGGCGGCGTTCATGCCCTGACACCATCCAGCTCAGCCACGAGCACCCCTTTCCCTCGCCCTCCGCAGCTTCCCCGTCTGCGGCGGCGTTCATGCCCTGACGCCCCCGTGGCAGCAGCCTTCGGCAGCTGCTGACCCCGCGGAGCTGAGCAATTGCCCTGTGCGTCCGCCCTCGCAGGTGACTTGCCCCGCCGCCTGCCAGGATACCTGGTTTTCCGCTGCGGAAACCCCGCGTACTGGGTCTATGCCGATCAGAGGTGTGACGGGAGGAACGACTGCGGAGACTGCTCTGACGAGATGGGGAGCTGTAAGTCTGTCTTCTGGCTGCTGTTGGGCCAGAGGTCTTTTCTGCTGATGGATTGAAGTGGGTTGTGCAGGTGTGGTGCTCGCTGATGCTGCTGGAAATGCCTGGAGGCTGGCATCCACTGCTAAAACACAAATTCGCTGGGACAGGACGCGAGTAAGAACCGTGCAGGCTCCATCCCATCAGCTATGTTCAAGCCTGAGGGCAACCAAAGGCTCCGTGCTTTGCTTCCAGCCCCAGAAGTCGCTCCACCTCTGTGGCTTGCAGAGTGTGGAGCAGTTTCACCATGATGTGTAGCTGTAGGCAGCGGTGATCCTCCAAGCTGGCCTTTGGCTGTTGGTCAGGAGATAGGTACGTCTCTGAGTCGGGGACACTGAGGGGGCCTCAGCAGCTTCGAAGCCATCTAGATCTTCCTCTTGCTAAAACGAGCAGCAGGTTTGTTGCAAAGTCACCCCCCTGGTTTTGAACCTCAGGTGAGACCTGCTGGTGTCAGGAGCTTTATCTAAAGTAGCTTATGAAAATAAATTGTTCCTCCCTGGATGGCATGTCTGCCACAAAGGTCATTCCAATGTCACGCCCCATGGTTGTGTCCCTCAAGTTAGCATCAAGCGAGTGTCCGCTTTGGTGGGTTCACAGACTCAGGGTCGTCACCAGTGGCTTTTCAGTAGCTGCCAGGGGTGAAGGGGTGGCTACCTGCGTTATAAAAGGAGGGAAGGGGCTGGTGCAGCAGAAGCATTTCTGTTCCCTGTTTTCCGTCCCTCCCAGTGGCCGCCTGCCCCCCGTGCGGGTCGGAGTGGTGGAGCTGCAGCCCTGTGCTCTACGAGTTCTGCTCCTGCGTCCCCAGGAGGCTGTGCCGGGACGGCATCCAGCACTGCCTTGGCTGGTCCGATGAGTACGTCTGCAGACCGTGAAGTCTTGGCACCCAGCAGCGCTGGAGACTGCAGGGTACTTCCTGCATCGTCACTTTTAAGCCTCGGTGTCCTCCGGCTCTGCTACCCGCTCGGGAAGCTCCAACCGAAGCCAGCCCTCATCACCAAGTGCTTTGGGCTGGAAGGGATCTTTAGAGGACATCAGCAGTGCTCTGGCCAGCTCGCAGTGACACCGAGCAGGGAGCAGATTCTGTGCCTCCAGTCTCCAGCTGCCCACGCTGTGAGCCGGGCACCGGCTGTGGGACACCTTCACAGGTTCTCTGGTCCTGTGAGGGTGAGTCCCTTCTACGTGGGCAGAGCACCGTCTTGCAGCGTTGACTTGACAGCTCGATGGGTTCTGTGCAGGCTGCTGGAGGCTGCCAGCAGCTTACTGTGTCTGGCCAAGCCTGGGTGAGGGGCTTCTCCAGCATGGACATGCTGGTGGCTTTGTGGGCAGCCAGGTCAGGGTACACTGAGGACTACCCTGAAGAGCAGGAGCTGGGTGAGGTGAGCCTTTCTAGACCTTGGGTTGGCATTTCCCTCCGACACGTGATCCTCACGGGCAGGAGGAGAAGCCCATGCTTGTGTCCAAAGCACGTCTGCAGATGGTTTCGGCAGCGGCTTTGAAGGCTCTCTGCTGATGCTCCCAGGATGATTCCTCGCTGACGCTGAGGGTGATGCCGTGGCGAGCTGCTGCACAGGCCACTGCCCACGCCCTTCTCAAACCACAAAGGCCAACGCAGAGAGTGTAACGGCAAGGAAGACTGAAGTGGGTGTTCCATGGTGTGTGGGGACAAATCACCGTGTCCCTGTGACCACAAAGCTGTCCCTGCAGGGCAGGGAACTGGCGTGTATGGCAAATGTACTTCTCCCAGGGCTGTGCAGTTCTGGAGCAGCATCTCCGCAGGCTGAGAGCAGCCGTGGGGCTGGGATAAGTTTGCACTGAAGGTGGCAGAGAAAGGAGGAAAAGAGAGTCGCTGCCTTGGAGCGGAGAGCAGCAGAGAACCAAGTGCCGCAGCTGCTCCCGGGGCGGTGCGGTATGACACGGGGTCTGTTTGCTGCTCGTCTCGTTCATCTGCCAACAGAGCCAGATCAGGCAGCCAAACCTTGAAGCAGTCCTTGGGATACAGATACGGACATGACACTGAAATTTAAGAAAGATGCAGTCTGCTCCTTTGAAAAGCTCATCTGTGTCTAAAACATCATCTCAGAGAAAAACCCACATTTACAGTGAGTGCACTTTCTTTTCTATGCCCAAAATAAACATCAGGCGATACGCTTCCCGCCACCATCCCAGGTCATATATCTTTAAAAATAAAACCCATTCAATCATTTCCTCTCTGTCCTGTGATCTGCAACTCAGGATGTCACCATGGCTTGTGTCAGCAGTGAATGTTTCTTCTAATTTGTAGCTGGGATCCAGCTGTAGATCTGAGAGATCTTTTAAAAATAGCTTTACTGTATTCTGACTCATACTTCACCTGGAATGAGATGGCAAAACTCTGCGTAACGGAACCGGTACTGTGGGAAACTTTTAAAGCTGCGTTTAATAACCTGTCCTTCTCCAGGCTTGGCTAGGGCGGATGACTTGCCTTCTCCATGCCTGCAGAACATTCCTGCAGTGCCTTCAGCACTGCAGCTCGGAGCAGAGGTTAGGAGTTTTCTGGATAAACATTTCTCACTTGCAAGCTTCCAGCCTCAATCGAAGCTTGAAATAGAGATGCACATTTTTACTGGAGAGTCACAGACATCTAGCGCTTCAACAAGGCTGAGCTGGGGTTGGTGAATACAGCCTGGCTTATTGTAGTTGCTGTTGTTCCTCTTGTTACCCCAAAGTACGTTCTGGGGCAACCACTGAGGAAGTCTTGCAGCGTTTCTAAGAGGAGCTTGAGGAGGGGTGATTCAGCGGCAGCACTGCCAGGTCAGCCCCTGCTTCCCGGGGAAGAAGAGCTTCCTTCGGATTCAGGTCGGGTTCAGCTCCGGGCTGTTTGCCTGTTCCTTGGCTTTGAAGTGCCACGAGCTCGCCGCACTGGGAGGGTGCAGGTGGGCTACGACGTTCCACCAAGGAAAGGTGGGAAAGGGGAAGCAGAATCTCATCCCTCATGATGGGAACTGGATATGGATAACAGAACAACTGTAGTTGGTGAGGACTGAACTAATAAGCTGTTAAAAAGAGTATAGAAACCTCCATGCTCAGCGTAGGGCCTGCCCAGTACGGTTGGTGAAATAATTTGTTCTGTATCAGGGATATTGGGGCAGCTGTGACTTTGTGGAGCCTCTGGTGTTTGCTGTGGTTGGGAAGAGGATGCTGGTTGGGCTGACCCGTACGGCAACTGCGGCGTTCTCCCACTCCAACATCTGTCCATCGTTGCCGCAGGTCACCTCTGCCGAGTTCCACGATGCTCCCGAGGGTGAAGGGGAAAGGCTGCGGGCATGTGACGTGCGGGCGTGGGGAGCCGGACGTTTGTGCTTGCTGTGAGGAAGGCTGCTTCTCCACCCCAGCAGAGGCCAAGTGGTGGCTTGCCTTGGCTGGGTGGGGACAATGTCGGCATCTGGGAATCCTTACTGTAGTGTGAGGCATGATACAGGAGGGAAATGCCACCTTCGCTCTCCTTCAGCGTGAGGGTGAGGAAACAGAGGCAGGCTTAGGGCATGCAGAGGATATCCCTGGCTGCAAAGAGGAAAACAAACGCAGTCTTCCTTTCTGTCGTCTCTCAGCTTTGTAACTGAGCTGAACCACAAAGAAATGGGGTCAGGAACGTGATCTCTGCATCTAGGACGGCCAGTAAAGGTTTACTGGTGTCAGAGGAGCTGACCCGCCTGGGATGTGCAGGGTAGAGCCCCAGCGCTGCTCTCGGGCTGATGTCCCTGGATCAGTTCACAGCAAGCGCTCTTGGGAGAAGAGAGCTGTGATTAATGGCCTCAGGGTAGGAGAGAGGAACCAGGGACTCATCCTGCTCTGGATTTACCCGGGTGAAGAGGCCAGCCAAGAGAGCCCTGGGAGCAGCAGTCTCCGAAGCCAGCCTGGAAACAGCCAGGGATGCAGTGGGCAGTTTAAGCAGATGCTTGGCTGAGCCCGTCTGTCTCAGGGTGAGTCTCTCCCTGTAATTTTCTTCCTTACTGCATTTTTCCTGGCCAGCAGAGGCTGTGTGCCTTACAGAGAGCAAGAAACAGAGGTGAGTGGGTTGAGGACGTAGTGGTAAGCGTGTCTAAGTCTTCCTAGGGTAAAATTGACACAGTGGTGTGTTTAGAAGAGGAAGTCTGCTGGTCAGCAAGAAATCTAAGAAATGGAATAATTGTACCAGGGATGGGGAACGCAAGAAACACGGTGCTGTAAAACCCCTCTTCTGAAAAGGAAAGGTGCACTGTGTTATTTTACCGGCGAGCCTGGGACCTGAATCACGATGGGCCTATTTTCCGGCTCAAGGCATCAGCTCCCAGCTGCTTTGCCGATGTTAAATGGAGCCTACGCTTCCCCGAGGCGCCCGTCGCTCCATGGTCGGATCTCCACAGTGGTGGAAGGGCTGGCGCAAGAATTCCGCGGTGGCTGCGGAGCAGGAGGAGGGTTAGACTTCAGTGCCACAGTCATCTTCCTCCCTGTTGAGACACTGTTTTGCTCAGTCACTACTTGTGCCGTCATTTGTCTCAGCAGAGGGCTGAGGTAGTCGTCAGTGGAAGCTATTAATAGCCTTGAGTTTCTGGGGGAAAAAAAAAAGTAGGGCTTGAATGCAAGTCTGCTTGTTTTGTTTGTGGGTGGTGCTTTTCTGAGGAAAATTCAGCAATGAAAGAAGAAAGAGAGAAAAGAGCGTAGCTCTTCATGGATTTTTGAGATGAAGTTCCTTTTCTTGGCCTCTTCATGATTTCTAAGGATGTGTTGCTTTTCTTGTCACTGAATTGTGGCAAACAACAGTGTGAAAGGAAGATACCCTCTAAATCAGCACCAGTAGAGCAAACCTGTAGTAAATTCTCAGCCTCAGAGCGCTAAGAGCACAACGATGGTCACAGAGCCCAGCTCCTGGTGCACCTCGGCCGGTTTTGATAGAAACGCTCAGGAATTCAGTGATAAACACACCTGCAGCATCACAGCTCTGCTCCTGGCTGCAGACAAACACAGAACGAGCCGGAGTATCTCGGGTTTTTTTACAGCAAATACGTATAATTCATGTTTGAATTATAAACTTCCCTGAATGTTTCTAGATGGGGAAGCGTGGTTAGTATGATTGCAGGCATGTGCCTGCACCGGCAATGAGTTTTAAACCACAGAGCACTCTCAAACGTGGCGAGTTTGCTTCTAAGGGAGAACATATTGCAGCTGCAGAGTCTGTTCTCTACAGTAACCCAGCTTCAGCTTTCATTTCCTGGGCTCACCCAAGAGACTCGGGGACTTCTGTTCTACTCCGGATTTCTGCAGTAACTGATACCGAGGGGTTACTGTCTCTCGGCCTCCCTCCCCTGGGGCCTCTGCTTACGCTCTTTGCTTCCTCCCTTTGTCAGAGCTCTGCCAGCACAGCCTGGTGCTTACAGGCTGAGGTTTATGTTCCACCAGCACTTGTGAAGTCCCAGGGCACTTGACAAGCACAGCGCGGCTTCATTTCAGGCGAGCTGCAGTGATTATTCTTCTGCCCCTCAATAGGCAAGAGAGGAGGAGGGACAGGACCGGCTATTTTTGTGAACGATATCTACATCAGAAGAATTAGTTAAGGATGACAACAAAAACTTTATTTGAAAAAATTATTATGTATTGAAAATATACAGTAGTATCATCCACCTTCTCCTTGACTCTGTCCCTCCCCAAGCGTAGGTTAACCCACAAGCACATCACAGCAACCAGATTTACCAACACTGGTCTCCTTTGTTACTCCCTCTCAGGACGTCTTAAATTCTGTCACCAGCAAGAAAACAACAAACAAAAGACCCACTTCTTTCTGACTCAGTAGGTATTTAACAAATCCCAGTCCTCCACAGTGAGGCACAGATGCTTCTGTTTGGAAGTCCTTTCTCTC